CACATTATAAGATAAAACACTCCACATTAACAAGAAAAGCGGGTTCAACCACACAACAAGCGAACTTTCTCAACTAAACATTACTTATATAACATTACACGTAAGGACAGCGGTGAAAACAAAAGATATCAGCATTTACTAACACGTAAAAACTAATAATTCAATGAATAACAGGAGTGCGTGTGTGTGTGTGTATGTGTGTGTGTGTGTGTATGTGTGTGTGTGTGTGTGTGTGTGTGTGTGTGTGTGTGTGTGTGTATGTGTGTGTGTGTGTGTGTGTGTTGCAAGAAACATAAAGCTTTTACTAAAACATAAACTAAATCGTCAAGTCTCCTTTCATCTCCAATCGCTAAGAGTACTGGCAACAACAATATGATAATATATTAGAATTAGTAAACGATAGGCCTACAGCTCGTTCTGAGGACTAAGGGTAACGTTTGTTATATTTTGTTGTTCTAAAATGTTTTAAAAGAAAACAGCACCAAACAACCAAATAATAATAGTAATAAATAAAACCATTGTCTCATCAGTGAATTCGAAGTGTGACAAGACAAGGATGGGATAATCAGGGCATGGTGCAAAAAAGGTATGGGAATACCATGGTAAAAATATAATAATAATGGTCCTCGTCTTCTGAAAATGAATCCTTATGATTCCTTCCACTGCCACTAATATAACCCTGCCCTGTTCGAATACTTTAATCCAAGAATTTCTGTTTCTCGAAGCTATACTATCTCTTCTTCAAAATAATAAGTAGCTTTCAGTCTACACTATCCTTTGTCTCGTTTCTTACCCGAGCACAAGGTAATCTGAACCAAACAGGTGAAGTATTTTCTATAAAAAATACTCAAGTACCATTAGAACAGCAATTTGATGGTTCTCTCTCTCTCCCTCTCTCTCTCTCTCTCTCTCTCTCTCTCTCTCTCTCTCTCTCTCTCTCTCCCTCCCTCTCTCTCTCTCTCTCTCTCTCTCTCTCTCTCTCTCTCTATCTATCTATCTATCTATCATCTCTCATTCTCTCTGTCTGTCTCTCCCTCTCTCTCTATCTCTCTCTCTCTCTCTCACACACACACACACACACACACACACACACACACACACACACAGATATATATACACAAACGCACGCACGCACAAACACCAACACTCTGTTGCACAAATCCAGGAGTGCTATAACGATAGCCGTTCAGTATCACATCAACAACAACAACAACAACAACAACAACAACAACAACAACAACAACAACAACAACAACAACAACAACAACTACAACAACAACTACAACAACAGCTACAACAACAACAACTATAACAACAACTACAACAACAACTACAACAACAGCTACAACAACAACAACAGCAACAACACAAAGAACAGTGTAAGGAAAAAATCCCTGAAACAACAACAATACATTTTAAAAACCACAAGCAAACTGAAAAAAGAAAAGCAGACAAATCTGCCTGTTCTGTTCATCCCTTTTCCACACCGCTGGGAGTGAAAACGGCAGACATGAAAAACAACAGATCAATGGGCAGAAAGTAGCAAGACCTACCCACAGCGCACTTAAACAACCTTCGTGCATCCCAGACACTAAGAGTATCGATTAGGAAATGTGTCACGACGCAGCTGATCCAGGCGGTCGTCAATTTTTGGCCATAGGGAGTTATTAGTATCTGCTTAAAACGTGTTCACATTGTGTCTTTCTCTTTGTGAAAAAGTGCCGATCTATCTTGAACAAAAGTCGAGATGTATGCAATTAAAGTGGGTAGGGGCCACCAAGAATTAAAGGTTAACAGAGAAAGATATGGCGGTCAAAGTTTACTGACTTTAAAAAAAGCTTGAGCGTCCTTGAAAAAAACTGCAAATTTACTTTTGTTCGGTACATTTTCAACAGGAAATTTTTTCTGAGGAAAGTACACTCACAAAATATGTGTTTTTTGGTGGCATTAAAGATACTGACCCAAAACAAATAAGTATGGATAAAATTTGCTCCCTGGACGAAACAATGTTCATTTCTTAGATTTCATTCACTATCATAACGAGCGCCTGATTTCACCACGACACTATACAATACGTTTGGCGTTGATTGTGTCTCCCCCTGACAGCTCTTCCAAGTGCTAGGGTATGTCGCGTAATGGTGTTGGTGGTATGGCGGTTAGGCTATTTCGCTGTCTACAACCGGGTACTCATTCCCATTTGGTTGAAATGAGGAAAATCCATATTTATAGTGCCTCTTTCCCAAGGACACAACATTAGACCCTTGACGAAATTCAAACTTTCCTCTTGAAAGCCCGACAGCCTAACTACTAGAATACCAACGCCACTAGTTACAAACGAACGCAGTTCATCTCCTGATTCATCAAAAGACTGGCGTAATAAATGAGGATCAACTGGCCCTCAAGGGTTGTTGTTAAATATTCTCTTAAATTTCCGTATCGGGGCGGGAAGAGGTAGATTTAATGCTATTCGGAGCGAATGACCCATAACTTTAGTCATTTTGACTACGTTTATCTGAAGTTTTAGCTACAGTGGTTATAGTAAGAGTTTTACGACAGTTGCAGCAATTGTCTCTTATAAATGTCTACCCATGAAGGCTATCTCGGCCGAATTTTACCATATTTCTCACTTATGACAAGCATGGTAAGGAGTCTTAAAATCTACAATCAAATTTGAGAAAAAAAAGTTTCGTTTCCATGGATAAGGCGGCTTTATTGGATTTTGTTGACACGTCCTGCGTAATGTATACCGCACTAATCGTTCGGGAACATTGATTGATTTTTTGCTAGCATTGTAGCAAACATTAAATCTGAAAATCTGACTGTCGATTTTTTCCTGAACGAATTAAAACTTCTTTTATGAATTTTTTCTTGAGGTAGTAGTCAAGTTTGCACAAATACGTGAACATTCACTCTCCAAACACCACCAACAGAAATCTATTCCAAAACTTCAACAGACACATTTTTAGTATTACATCTTCTCTTCTTTCAGTGAAAATTTCCTGAAGATTGGATGAACGATGGTGGAGTTATTCAAAAAAGTATAGAAAAAAAATCGCGTTTTGAGAAAACGTCCGATAAAGAAAAATAAAATGTTGACTTTATGAGGAAATGGCGGTCACAAACATGCCCGGTAAGAGAAAAAAAGGCTTTTGGGGGTTCTTATGCGATGCAATAGTTCTAGGAAAGACTGGGGAAGCTAAAAATGCCTGCAACTCAAATTCCACAATTTTGAGCCAAATCGGGACTTTTGGGGTGTAGCCCCCCCCCCCCCCCCCCACCCCACCCCCCTTTAAAATTACATGTAATATACAAAGAATAGATGGAGGAGAGAGTATGGCAACAGCAGGTGTTTGATAGAAAGAAAAGAAACGAACCACACTAAAGTGTCCGCCAATCACCCCGGCATTAATAATTGTCACGACAAGAAAAGAGCGTAACAGAACTCTGTAAATGATACAGGAATTGAATAAAGCATGGAAGTATAACAAGATGAAATACATTTCGCCTGATTGGTTCTGTAATATAATGTTATTGATAATCGATACTCTTTTTGAAGAGTGGGGGAAATAGCCGGGAGCAGAATTTCTTATTGAGAATCATAAGTCTGTGTACCTATTTCTTTGAGTGCGATTGAGTATGGTCCAGAGAGTTTATTCATGTCTATGCTGAAAAAAATAATATATGAAGTACTCTCTTTTTATCTTCCCTCAATACCAGGTAAGGTCTTCAACAGAATCATTCGGGAGAGAGTAAAGTCTGCAACGGATGAACAAGCTGGATTTCTTAAAAAATCGGTCAAGAAATGCCACTCCGAGGATCATAGTCCCAGGATTGGAATTTCCAGTTGATCGTCAACTTTCTTGACTATGAGAAAACATTTGACAGTACAGATCGAGCAACATTGAGGAAAATACTGTGACATCTCGGAATCACACACACACACACACACACACACACGCACGCACACACACACACACACACACACACACACACACACACACTCACACACATTGTTCAGGCGCTTGTGTTGGGACGGTGTTTGCATTGGTAGGAAATTTGGGAATTTGCAAGGGTGGCGGCCGAAACCTACTCTTATATATTTTGGACCATCAAGGGATCTTTAACGTGCGTAAATTGCACACTGGACATCCAAGATTTTTCGTCCTTGTCCGAGAAGGCTAGGTGTAGGTATTTCCTACCAGAAGACCAGGGGTGTGGCTGAACAACAGCAGTAAGAAGGAGCCAAGGAGTAGCAGTAGAAATGCTACAGAAAGAGTCAGGAGCTCAGTGGAGGGTGCAAAGGAGGTGAGGGAGGGGGGGAAGAAAGTGGAGACGAAAGCAGACGACAGAATATAGCAAGAGAGAAGGAAAGAAGGTGAAAAGAGACAATTTTATAGAAAAAATATGTCGGTCGCTACCCGGATTCGAGCCCGGGACCTTTGGATGAGAGGCGAACAACTTAACCTCTAGACCGCGAGAGCCCCCCTGTGCTTGATCTGTGATTCCATTTGTGTTGCAACTCGGTGTAATCAGGCGTTCGTTAATTTTTTAGCATATTAAAGAGATATAATTCGTATTATTTTGGGGCTTGTTTATTTGTCTTGCATTTGGCGACCTATCTTGACTAGAAGTTGAGATATTTGCAATTAATTGAAAGAGCTGGGGATTGCCTCGTATGAGGAGTAAAATTAGTGAGAAAATGGCTGCAAAAGTTTGGTTACTTCCAAAGCTTGAGTGCCGTTAAAAACTTATTATTAACATTTTTTCTTCCTATAATCATTTTTTTCTGTAACTTCTACACAGAAATGTATTGACAGAATAGGTTTTGAGGCAAAATTTGAAAATTTGAAAACATATTGACCAACACGCAGAAAAATGACTGTTTCTTTTATTTCATTATTTCGATGAGCGCCTGATTCCACCATGCTGCCTCACATTTTTTTAATGAACAATAATTAAGGATTAAAAAGGAAGTTCCTCCCATGGCCTCTGATACTAACCTGTCTGTAGTATCTCCATGCTTCCTTAACACAGCACGAGCTCATCGCGAGTCGTTTTCGTTTCCTCTCTTCTTTTTCTTCGGGGGTAAAAAGCACATCCTCCTCAAAAACCAGTTTTTCTTTCGACTCTTGGCTTGAAGTGTCTCCGGTACTGCTACTGCTGATGCTGATGCTTGGCTTTTCTGCTTCAGAGTTTTCCGTTGACATTCTGGGGTTTTGTCTAGAAGTTTGCTATCAGGCAATGTGCAGCTTTATGATGAGCTTAAGTTTAGATCTAGATCTAGATCTTATAGCTTAGAGAGTGTGCAATAAGACACACCTTGTTCCACAATATTGATCGCAAAGGCTTGAACTGTATTTGACAGGAAGAGCCCTGATGAGACTTAAATTATCACTGAAAAAGGCTGTAAGAAGAGCATGTTTTTTGGCACCAAACTCTTGAATCTGTATCAAGCGTAATATTGTAAATCTACTTCCGTGTAATTGAAGGATATTGTGGTGCAGCAAAATAAAATACTTACGTAGTCTAAACAGCCGTATGCACTGCTCACCGTCGAACGCTCCGTATCCCGGACTCTAGCATGGAGATCATCAGGAGAGAATGCGTCGCTGTTTCGGGCTCTTCCTCTCTACAGCTTTTCTGACGCACCGAGCCCCCTCACCGATGTGAGGTCTCCATGTTAGTTCGACTGTTTTCCTCTGCTGCCAACTTTAGGATTCATTCCAGCTTGAGTCCTCTCGCTTCAACCAGATCCAATGACTGGCTTTCTCTGCTGTCTCCTGAAGGGAGTTTGTGAGTTCGTTGCTTTTCTTTGCGGTAAGTCCTGCCACTCTCATCCACTTACGGGCGCTTGTTGCTACAAAACCTCTGCATCCTACCTCTACCGGAAAATGGGTTGCCTTCCATCCTGCCTCCTCGCATTGTTCGACGAGTGCCTCGTAACGGTTTTCTTTCCGCTCATGAGCGGCATAGATATTGTCCTCGTGGGGCACCGTGAGCTCTACCAAGTGTACCTCTTTGTCTTTTTCCTCCCATAACACAATGTCTGGCTTTTTCGTAGTTGGAATGGGGAAGAATCTCTCAAAGCCTTTTAAGTCAGCAGCTACCTCCCATGTGCCTCCGCTCTGGTCTTTCATGGCTTCGTTCGCTTTCTTTCTTTTGGCAACCTTGCTTCCTTGCGGAACGAACGCAATCTTGGTGGGTCCATGCTTCTGTATCTTGGGGGCATATTTTCCTTCTTCCACCTGTTGTGTCGCCATTTTCGTGAGCACTTTCAACACCTCGTTGTGTCTCCAGGTATATCTGTTAAGAGCTAGGTTGCAGTTTGACAAAATATGCTTCATGGTTCCTAGCTTACCGCATCTACACTTGTTGTCCTCCCGTACCTTCCATCTGACAAGGTTCACCGGTGAAGGCAGAACATCATACGTAGACCGGAGAAGAAAGCTCAGCCTTGATGTATTCCACTTCCAGATGTCACTCCACCCGACTTTTCTTTCCACTACATGCTCTTCCCATCTGGTCATTTGTCCTTGCTGGCTACACTGGATGAGACGAATTTCTCGCCTCTCTGCCTCCATCTTTTGCATATGTCTTGTTGCAGCTTTTCTTCTGTCTCGCTGAGACATTTTCCTGAAAGGTCTAAAGTCGCCATTACCTAGCCCTAATCTGTCAGGTTGCGCTGGACCGACAATGTCCCCATGCTCCAATGCAGAGATGATCTCGTTAGCTGCAACATCTGCCTTCCACTTTCTGGCTGTTTTGACATCTGGAGGTTTTCCACTGATTTCCTTATCCCTTGATTCTCTCAACATCAAAACGGTTCTAATCTTGCCTGCTTTGTAGATCTCCACAATTGACGTGAGAGGTAGTTGAAGCGCACCTCTATGTCTGTACAGGGATGACGTGTTAATGGTACGGGGTAGCCCCAGCCACTTCCTGATGTAGCTGTTACACTTTCTTTCGATCATCTCAACTCTTGACAAAGCAACTTCATACATTGTCAGTGGCCACGCCAATCGAGGGTAGAGGGCAAACTGTAGACACCATATCTTGTGCTTTCCTGGAAGCTTTGTCTGGTCAATTGCTTTCAGCCCATTTTCAGCCTGCTTCATGATTTCCACGCCTTGACTCCTATCAGACAGAGTTCCTGAGTACCACCGACCCAAACTTTTCACGGGTTGTTCTTTTACTGTGGGCATTTGCTCCCCTGCAATTGTGAACTTCAGTTGCTTCTGTTTTCCTTTGTTAATAGTCAGGCTTCTAGACTTTTTAGCTTTAAACTTCATCCTCGCCCAGGTGATAAGCTTATCGAGCCGATTCAACACACTTTGCATTGTGTCTCCATCTCTTGTCAGTAGGGTCACATCATCCATAAAGGCTTTCTTTGGTGATCTCACCTTTGCTTCTTCTTCACAGCATTCTGCAGATCTCAGTAGCATCTCCATTACCAGGATGAACCAGATGACCGATATAGAGCAGCCAGCTGCAATCCCAATCTCTAGTCGGTGCCATTCCGTTGTGAAATTTGCGGTTGAGAATCGCATCTGGAAGTTACTGTAGTATTCTCTCATAATGTTTTGCACCTCTTGTGGGACGTAGAAAAAATCCATTGCCTTCATCAGCAATTTATGGGGAACAGACCCGTAGGCATTCGCCAGATCCAACCACACTACGTTTAAACTTTCCTTGTTTTTCTTGGCCTCTTGGATTGTGTCCCAAATGGTGAAAGCATGCTCGATGCAGCCTGGGATCCCTGGTACCCCGGCTTTCTGTACCGTTTCATCCACATAGCCGTTACTTTGCAAATATGCTACAGTCCTCTTTGCAAGTATTCCCATAAAGATCTTGCACGTCACGTTGATGATTGAAATAGGTCTGAACTGTCCTATCTCCTTTGCATTCTGTTCTTTGGGTAGATACACGCCCTCCGCTCTGCACCAATCTTTGACGATTTCTTTGTCTTTCCAAAGGCCTCTTAGCATCTCAAAGAGGGTGTGTCTCAGCGTGTCGCAATACTTGAACACCTTATAAGACACGCCATCTCCTCCAGGTGCACTTTTTGCTCTTGCTTTTTTTACGAACTCATCTACTTCTTTCTCTCTAATTTGTCCCAGGTAATATTTGACGACGGGGGCAGCTGGACGCTTCAGGCCTCTCATATAAGGAAGCGGTTCTTCTCTTCTTGAATCGCTGTACGTCTGCTTAACATAAGCATCGAGTTCCTCTTTCGTACATTCCAATTTACCACTCCGTGCCTCTGTGAACAGTTTTTTGGCTGCTTCATAAGGATTCTTCAGAAATTGTTCACGTTCCCTTTTTCTCTCTTTTCTCCTGGTACACCTTCTTTCGTGCCTCTGTAGGTCTCTGCTCTTTTTCTTAAGATCTTCAAACAAGATTCTTAGGCCTTCTATCTCTTCTGGTGGTGCGTACTTTTTCTGCTTTTGCAAGTCTCGTTTCTGTTTTCTTAGCTGTGCAAGTACTCTCTGCCTTCTACTCAATCCACTTTTCTTCTCCGTCTTTTTCTTTCCTTCACAAATACCAAACTCTTTTATTGCCGAGTCATAGATAATGGTCGCAAACGCACTCAATATTTCTTTAGCATCCCCTCTGTTAGAACTCTTTTTGACTTCTTTCAATTTCTTCTGGACTTCTTCTTCTAACGTCTTGTATTTTGCCTTCTCGTTAGCAGCAGGCCACAGTATTTTGGGTTTCCGTAACCCTGGTTCCGTTTGCTGTTCCATCTCTTGCTGAGACAGGGTGAAAGGAGAGTCGACTGAAGCACTAATCGCTCCGCTGTGGTTTTCATCCTGGGTTGATTTGCTTCGCGTCTTACAATCTGACGATCTGCACTGTCTTCTCTTCTTTAAACAGACTTTTCCCTGGTGCACTCTCAGCCCTCGCCAGGTATCGAACTTTCTGTAGCACTGCTCGCACATAAAGCTGTTCTCTTGATTCTCTTTCTTCATTGTCCTTTTAACGCTTAGGTCATTGTCCATTGAATCCGTCCTTGTGGATCCATCCTCTACTCCCCCCTCTCGGGGGGTACTTATTTTATAAGTAAAATTTCATAGCGTGTGAAACTGTCTTCTTTTTTTTTTCTTTTTTTTTTCTTCTTTTTCCCCCCTCTTGTATGTTAGCCGTCGTGTCGAGATCATAGAGTATAGTGTACATCTATGGTCGAGATGCAGTTTTCTATAGTAGGCCAACTCAGCAGCTCTTTCAATTTTCACGTTGTAGTTTCTCGGAGTCCCCAGACTCCCTTAACCCGTGTTTTGTTTTGTTGTCGTACTCTTACTTTGTATACAGAGTAGTTGGTGGTATAGACTCCTGGGGCTCGTTCACTGGGTAATGTTTTTATTCGTAACAGGTTGTCATACCATTAAAATTGTGTTCTTCGTTTTTCTATGAAATGCAGATGGGACTCAGTGACAAAAGAAGACTCTTACACTTTCATTGTTCTGCTTGTCTCTCTGTCTGATCTCTAGGGTTTTGCAGAAACATTTCATCGTGGTGAATTCAGGTTCTCGTTAAACTAATACAATTGAAGAAATCGGCATTTTTTAGTCAGTTTGGTACCTTTTTCTCTAATCTTTGCTTTTTTACCTCAACACCTTCTATGAAAATTCAAAAACATTTTGATGAGTGGATTTTAGGGGAAACTGTTGATTAAAGCACGAAAAATGTAAATTTGCTGTTTCCGAGGACACTTTTGAACTAGGGAAGTCACCAAACTTTGGGGGCAATTTTCTCGCTAATTTTACTTCTGAAACCAGGCGATCTGACCTCCTTCAATGGCTCGACTTTTATTCAAGATAAATTTCTATTTTTAAAATCAAATACAAGGCAAAATAACAACCTATAAGATGATACCATACACCCAAAATTAGACAGTGTCGCGATACTTATTTTCATTCCGAATTCAGCAATCTTGATTAAATGGAATTTACATGATAACCAGTTCTGTCATTAATATGTAGCATGATGCTAGTAGAAGCACTGAAGTAATCTCTTTATGCCCACAGAGATGTTTGCCGGACATAAAACTGAGAAACTGAAACCCACAGTACTTGATAGATGGGTTTGGAATATCGTCGCTACTTACTTCATTACTTGCTTTACAGAATAAACGTTGGAGAACAGATATCACTGCAGGTGGCACAATGAACAATGCCATAGCTGCGCCTCCCTCCTCTT